TCTTACCACTTTCCTGCGTGAGTGGTGTAGAATCTGCTTGATGCATAAACGTCTCCAACCCTTCGAGATATTCTTTCGTCACCCTCCCGTTATTATCTCTGTGTGAATACATCCACTTCCGCAACTCGAAAATATTTTCCGACCCGGAAATTTTTTTGTGTTTGATCAAGCTTATAGCTGATTATTTTTTAGTGTGTTTCAAATGAATCGCAATTGTGGTATTTATATAAATTTTTGAATCTGAGCATTTACTAGGAAGTTTCTAGGAAATGTAGGTACAAAACACGTTTTTGATTTAAATTCGATATTTCCTATCCAGTTCCTCCTAAGTTCGTAGTAACAAATCTGTTCGTCTTAATTTCGTAGTAATTCTATACTAGGACTTTACGAGGAAATTGACTTACTACGGGCTTACGAGAAAATGTACTTTTTCCACGTAATTTCCTCGTAACATTACTATGGTGTTACGAAGAAATATTTTTTTCGTACTTGTATGAGGACATTACGAAGAAAACTTGTTTCCTTGTAATGTCAAAGTAATTTCGTAGTAAATTTACGAAGAATTATTTTCCTAATAAAATTTCGTAGTAACTTATTAGTTTTTTTGTACTGGATCTAATATCTAATATATAAATAAAAAACGTCTGGATGAAATAATGACACTAATTTAATAGATAGAGTAAGAATCTTGACATCAATAAAGAAACCTATACGAATTAAATTATTACGTAGACAAGAAAACATTACTCAACCAAATATTCCGCAAATAACATTGAACAAATAAGAAAATCTTGTAACATCTAAATATGAAGTTGACTCCTACCATATATTAAAATACTCTAATGGAGAAACATCAACAGCAATTATCTAATCAAATAATAAAGGAAGAGAATATTGGGTTAATATGTATTAATGTATATTACATCTAAAATTGAACACTCTAGAATCGATACAGTAAAAGATTAATACAAACAGATGATATAGAACAAAAAAAATATGGCTACCCTGTATATACATATGTACACTAACAGAAACAGTCAATAGTCAGATAGTCACAATATTTGCAGAGAAATTTCATAATACCCTAACTATACAGAAAATATGTTCACAGAGTACTTACGAAGCATATATCGTAATAAACGATAAATGAAGTCTGGAACTAGGCATGTTCATTCTGATGTTCGGTCTGGTTTCAGTTCGGTTTTTCTCGGTTTTCGGTTATTCGGTTTATAAAAATTAGCTATCATATTGGAACCATATTTAATTTGGTTTGGTTCGGTATTTATACTACTGATTTTTGGTTTATTCGGTTTTATATCAAATAACATTATTATTTGATTTGGTTTCATATTATATGAATTTAAAACAAAAATATATTATCAAAACTATCATTTATTAAAATAATCCTAGGTGTTCATAAATATAAAAATGTGAAATTAACAACAAACAAAAAAATCAACAATTCAGTTTTGTATAGCTTTTCTTATTTTCTCTTTGTTCTTCCAAATAAATTACATGGTACAATCTAATTTCACAATTTCTTACAACATGTAAAATCAAATCAAATTTAGATAATAGTTGAAGAAAATAAAATAAAATTAGTAAGATATATCTTCACAAGGTATAAAAAAATAAAAATAAAAAGGCTATTCCAAGAAAATAAATGGTTATACAATGTATATATTTATATATTTTTTCTTTGATCGGTTTTGTTCGGTTTATTCGGTTTAATCGGTTATAAACCTAACCATATCCAAATCCTACAGTTTTTATAAAATCATATCCATTCGGTTTATATGATATATACCAAATCCAAACCATATTGTCTATTTCGATTCGGTTCGGTGCGGTACGGTTCGGTATCACCATATTGAACAGCCCTATCTGGAACATATACTTTAACATATTGAAAGGACTTACATATATATTTAATTACTAACTAATTTTCTATTTTTCGAAAAGACACTAAAATTTCGTTTGTTTGCGATTTAATAACTATTTAGTTTCATTCAGCTGAATATATATATGCATAAAATGCACAGACGCACATAATTAATCAGATTGAATTTGATAATTGATAATGGAATGATTCGGAGGATGACATGAGAAAACAAGCCCATTGGAAAATGGTAAGTTGTGTTCTTACGAAAATACCTGAGAGACAAAGAAAGAGAAGCTTGTGAAGTCACATGGACTCTTCTGGACGTATGCTCATAGCTTCTCCTCTTGTTTTATTTTATCTTTTTACTCAAATGAACTTCACTTTAAAAGTCTACAGAAAAAAAACACTACTCTTATATGATCCACAAAAAATAAATACTGCTCGTTTGATTATAACAATATAAGTAATTTATTATAAGCAAATTGGAATGATTGATCGAAACAGATTTTTAGATATTTACGATGATAATTTAACCAATTAAATCTCTAGATAATTAGTTGTTTTGATGATGTATATGAATAGCATTAGGTACACGGATTCAAAGAACACAAGATTACTACAGCTTAGATTTTATATCAAGTGCATCCAAGAAGATTCTTTGTATCATCATGAAATTTTGTCCTCAAGTTTTACGTTCACATCCAGGACTGTTCACATCTGATCACTTTTGGGGCCAAACTGGTTCAGATTTTTCCGACCAGTTTGATTACAAAACGCAGCCCTAATTACATATCTATGTAGTTCTTCAAATTTTAATTTATATTAAAAATAAATTATAACTAGTATTATATATTCCCATAATTAGATAGGAATAATCAAAAGATCCCACCTAATTTTTAATAGATAGTTTTTTTTTGCTTTTGATAATGAAGATTTTTAAATGCATAACTTGTGCTATCATTTTCTTGCACGCCAATTGGAGATATCTCAAATATTGTATATATATATCATCAGGAAACAAATTTGTTAAACCTGACATTAAGCGTATAGACCGGCCAAATAAATCTTATCGGTTATTTATTTTTATTATCTGATATATAATAGAATTTGCGATTTTGTAAAGTTAACCAAATACTACACAATTTATTCTTATAACTATAGAAAATATTATGTTGTTCAAGTTATTATCGAGCATGAGTGTTAGTAATCAGACGACTTAAAGTCTGCAGACAAAAGCTTTTCTATGGTCTCGTCGACCGGTCTACTATCACAGGTGAGAAGTTGTACGCTGTATATATGTCCATTTAGTAAGTATCTAGTTAGTGATTCAAGCTGATTAGTGGATTTAATTAGCGAAGCTGGACGGATGACGTGAAGTTTTCTGGTAGAATTAAAGACCAACAACTCTGTAAAAACTAAAAATTAATTGACGATAGATTACCAAAGTACACATATAGTAATAAATTATTTTATAAAGCAGTGAAAAAACTACCATATGCTTAAAATAGTTCGATAAATAACATATGCATAAACACACAATAAATACTACAATGCTTAAACTTTATTTGGCCAAATGAGTGTTTTACCTTTTATCAACAAATAAGCCACTCACATCAACATTACTAACGAACTGAAGTTTTTCTATTGATGTTCTACCATATTATGAATTTTCAAGATTTTTTAACTACAGATCTATGGATCAACAAAAATTAAAGAATTTACATACGTGTAAAACAAGCTCAAACTTTAAAGTAGCAAGAATAAAGCTTAAAGAATGGTTGGACAAGCGATACAATTGCCAGATCTTCGTGATAAGCAAAGGATGACTGCGGTTTGAAACGAACATCTGAGAAGTCCCTCTAATTTGTGTGCATCAGTATATATATCTGAAATAGAATATTATGTTTTTATGGCCTTCTGTGCAATTTTAATAAGCTGAGTAGAGGAGATTCAACCATTATAATGCCACCGCGAGTTTTTCTTTTTCTTTCCAGAGATAGTCGATTATCAAACCAATCAAGAATATAGACTTTTGGTTTTTTCAGTGGCAATTTTTTTTTTCAAGTTTCTACCATCACCATTTGTATATGTATTCTTTTAGTATACCGTTAATTTTATATATTTCGCCTCCTGATGCCTGATGGTCGATACTCGAGACACTATTCAAAGAGGCATAAGTATTAGTTATTTTCTTACTCACACATCGTTAAAAAAAATCACTTCTCAGTTCGCACTACTTAGGACTAAAGAATTATCTGCTGATGAAGTTTTAGGGATAGTTAAAAACAACTATCATCGTAAATGATTAGTGAGATTTAGATTTCTATAGAGTTTATTGATTTTTAAAACTGAGAGATGTTAAATTTAAAAATATCGTAAAGAATTTTGTATATTGTAAAAATAAACTAGTATAATGATTCTAAGTCCAAAAGAAACATGTAATATTTTTAAAAACTTGTTTTGTGAGTTAAAATGTTAAAAATACAGCTTCTAATACTTATTTTAGATTTTTATAATCATTAAAATTTAAACTTTAAAAAAATAAAAGATTTTGTATAAAATTGTAAAATCATCAAACAAATAACAATAGATTTTTATTGGAACCTATAAACTAATAACATTAGACTTTAAATTCTAATAATCATTATAAATCCAATTTTCACTAACACCCTTAATATTTAATCTAATCATTGTATATAAATACATTTATGCAAAGTTAATCATCTAATCATTTATATATATAAATATTTCTATGCAAAAGTTATTTCCATAATGGGAGCTTCTAAAATAATTAATACTAATAGTTAGCATGTAGCCTCACAAAGCTTCTCTACATCGACCAACCGCAAGAGTCCCACAATAAACAAACAACAGTTTGCTTGTTCTTTATATTTCCTCTTTCACTCTCCTTCTGTCTTCCTCCATGCCGGTGAGTTCTTAAGAGGCTTTTAATATTTCTAATATCAATGTAAAAAAGAATCTTATATAATTAATAAACAAGCTTAGTTTCCTTTAGTGGGTCTTAACCCTTTTGCCTTTATTTCCCCATCAGGACCAAAAAAGAGAGCGACAAACACTTTCTGTCTTAGTTTTGTTTATTTTCCTTCTCTCTCCCTCTCTTGATTTCTCAATCCGATCTTTTCATGTTCTTGAGTTTATCTTTTTAACAATCTCAAGCTAAAAAATGCCTTTAGAGGCTGTCGTATAGGCGCAAGATTCATTTGGATACCTCTCTAGTTGCAAAGATTTCATGTTCCACGACCTGTCCTATCAAGAAGAGGTAGTAGCAGTTCAAGATACGAAGAACAATATTGATACGTTAGGCCGAGAACAAAGCTTTGTGGGAAAAGATGAGGAAGAATGTCAATGGCGAGACTATCATCATAAGTACCCTTTAATACCTTTGTTGACCGAAAAGCTTGATCATCCCGCCATTGATATGGAAAATCCTCCTTCTATGCAACCGAGGAGGAAGAGGAGGAGAACGAGGAGCAACAAGAACAAGGAAGAGATCGAGAACCAGAGAATGACTCACATAGCTGTCGAGAGAAATCGCCGGAAACAGATGAATGAGTACTTAGCCGTGCTCCGTTCTCTAATGCCATCGTCATATGCTCCAAGGGTATTATAGTCTTTGAATATTTGCACACACATATACGTACATACTATTTCTATCATTGTTCACTATTATTCACAGGTCTTTCAGATATGTGTCCTTGTTTTACTGGGTATACTACTAAGTTTTTGCGTATTTTGATGTTTGTTTTTAAAAAAAATGATACATTAACATTTAACTAAGAAAAGTGTGGAAATGATTGAGGATATTTGAATGTTTATTATACGATTTATTAAAAAGGAACATCTACTATGTAAACTTATGCAAAGACGATATGCGTTATATACACATTTTGAATTTTATTTAATATTTTATACTATATAATAGTGTTTTTTTTTTTGCTAAAATTTGACTATATAATAGTGTTTAAAAAAATTATACTATTTAACCCCAAGAAATATGTGCCCAACAATTTTGAGTATATATGGTTAACAATACTGAGATTTCTTTTTAATAAAATTCACTAACAACAGAAAAAATTGAATCATAAACTTATGCAGTTACCGTGATACGTGGGTATGTAATTTATCTAACGTTCAATTTTCTTTTTGTTTTTTGAGTGTTTAAGGGAGATCAAGCGTCGATAGTAGGAGGAGCCATTAACTACGTAAAGGAGTTAGAGCACATCTTACAATCTATGGAGCCTAGGAGAACCACGAAGACGACCCATGAAGCTGACACAAGCACTAGCTCATTGATGAGTCCCTTGTCAGAATTCTTCACTTACCCTCAATACTCGACAAAACCATCATCATCAGCAACGGAATGCTCATCTTCATCGGCGGAGATAGAAGTGACGGCGGCGGAAGGCCACGCGAACATCAAGATACTGACGAAGAAGAAGCCGAGGCAGCTTCTTAAGCTCGTAGATTCGATACAGAGCTTAAGGCTTACTCTTCTTCATCTCAATGTCACCACTCACAACAACTCGATTCTCTACTCCATCAGCGTCAAGGTACGTATAAATTCTCCATCTTTTCTATTTTACCTCTAATTTGTTTTCTTTTTCGTTAATTAATCACGAGATTTAGAGAGTGATTAATTGGTGTACTGGATTAGTATTAGTTATGGTTATGTATTGGTTTTAAAAGGTTGCAAAGACAAACAAAGATAATTTTCTTTGTATATAGGTATTTTACTTAGCAACAAAAAAAATTCTTACTTTCTTTGGTTACTTAGGGCTGGCTTCAGTAGTTGTGGGTCAAACTCAAAATGATCATTCAATAGAATCTGAGTTACATAATGGTGCATGTATAATGTAAAAATCAGGGGACCAACCTAAAAACGAAACACGAATATGAATCGATTTCTATGCACTAGTTGTATGCAGTGGCCATCGAGTCGTAGATGTAGCGTTACCAAGTAGTGAGGCTACAACTTGTTTCAAGAAACATTCATATTAAGCTCGCTTTTTGATAAAATGTAGATTTTTATCATAAAATGTACATTTATTTGGTCAGCTTTAACCTTTTCCAAGAATCATAATATATATACTTTATAAAGAAAAATGGTTTATTCAGGTAGAAGAAGGGAGCCAACTGAATACCGTAGACGACATTGCAACAGCTTTGAATCAAATCTTAAGGATGATTCAAGAAGATAAGATTAATTAATTTAGTATCTAATGTTCCCTTTTCTGATATTTATTTCGAATCATTGAAATACAGATTCATCTTATATATGCAGTTTTATTGCTCCTATTCTATTTTATGTAAGTTTCATTTATTTCCTGTAATGAATCAGTTGTCGTTGCCCTCTATTATATGCCATATACACACACAGACACACACACACATATATATAAAGAAAGTTTAATTTAATGAAATGGTTAAGTCGATAGGTTGGTAACATATAGGGGGCACTAAAGACCATATTTATTATACGCGTGGCTAATGTTCTTTAGGTGACATATTGATTAAAATAAATAACACTAAGAGCATCATTAACGGGGTATGCAACTCCCGTCTCTTAGTATTAATTGGATTAAAAGAAAAAGAAAATTAGCATAATTAGGAGAAAACGTATCTTATTTGGGGACAGAAGATACCGTCTTTTGAGACACGTGTTGTGTTTTGGTTGTTCTTCGGTGTCTCTCTCCCTTCTTCCATTTCGTCGAAATCAGCCATCTCTCTCCTCGACAACTCCGAAGAAGACGAAGACATCTGTCTTCGCTGACCAGAGAGGAAGAATCGGGAAGGACTATTCGGAGATGTGGCTATTTCACAAGAAGAGGAATTGGAGGATATTGGTTTTAGGTAATCGCAAAATAAACATCAGAGTTGATCTTTCTGAAAGTTGCGTTGATACAAGATAAAGGTATGTAGATGATGATATTGGTTGCTCTCGTTAATTTCATAAATATTGAAAGATGTCAAGCTCGTGATGAAGAAATCATCGGATGAATATGATTTCAAGATTGTGAAATCATGAAGTATTAAGTTAAATCATTGTTCTCTGGGTTATGAAGAGACTATGTCATTGCAGGTTTTGCAAAGATGGCTTAAGTACAGAGAAGAAGGAAGGAAGCAAGCAAGCAAGTTTAGGTTGAAGAAAAAAGGTTCTCTAGTGTGCAAACGAGAAGAGATATGAGAAGAAGATTGATATATGGTTGAAGCTTGTTTGAATCTTAAGTCTACATCTGCTGCAATCACAAAGATATTGTGATGATATATGTTATTGTTTCTGGAAGCTCATGGATGCTTCTTTGAAAATCAGAGTGGAAGAAGACCTTGTGGAACACAAAATTTATCTACAGACTTTATTTGTATTAAGTCAAGGTTTAAGTACAAACCCGGATGTAACTTGATTAAATCTGTTTGGTAAAGGTTTATATCAGTTTGGTCTTCAAGCACAGTCAAGACAAGTAAGTTGTTCAAGTGGGATTCTCTAGGGGACGCCTTAGAGATGAAGATTCTGGACTATATGAGAAATGGACTATGGATCTCTTTCTTCAAAAAGGTGTTCATCTTTTATTGGACCTTTGAAATAGTAGCGAGTACAACTTATAACCCTTTTAATCAACTTTATAAAACATCCTCCTGTAGTGGTGGACATTGGACAGTACAGGAGAACTTCTATAAATTAATACTCGATAAATTAATATACATTAAATATCTCTATAAATTAATATAATTTTATAGTCCCAAATTTACTTTTTGGTTCAATTAGTATATTTACAAATTAATATATTAATTTATAGAGGTTTCATTGTATATACTTTTGGCTTTGAATGGATATAAATTTGAATAAATAATAACCAAAATCATAAATTTAAGGCTAAGAATGTCTTGTTATGCCTTTGTCAAAAAAAAACTTTTTCAACAAAAGAAGAATGTATTGTTATATAACTCACATCTTTACAGAAAATCATTTAGCCGCCCTTTTTTGTCAAATGTTTTCTTAAATTAATTTAGTCAACATAAAATATTACAAGGAAGGAAAAGATGAGATAGAAGGATTAATATTCTATTGCATTCATTTAAGAACAACTTAAATATGAGAAAGAAGAGGAATGACAAAACAACCATGTACAAGTCTTAGTTTTGTGATCCAAAACCACCACCACAACCTCGACGACCCGATTACCCAACCAATGTAAACACGCATCTTCTGAGAAGGTTTTAAAGGCCTACCTCCACGAGAGTTATGTGGTGATGCATTATATTCTCCACCTCAAGATGTGAACCATATAAATGAACAATTCTATATACAAAGTCACAAACCCACTAAACCTGGAGTAATTGTTTTCAGATATTTTATCTAAGTTAAACAAAGCGCTAAATAGAACTAAAAATTGCGTCTTATAAAATAAAAAAGGTCCGGCCAGTTTTTTTTGTTCGAGAGATAGCGTCAAAAAGATAGAAACTTTTGTACAGTATACAGTGATCACTGATCATAATAGCAAATCATGTTTTGGGGGTTTTGTGGTTAAATTGGGATACTAAATCACTGGTACGTGGGATTCATGGAAGGGGAGAGACTATATGATCACTGTCTTATCATGAAGAAGACCCATCTATCGAAGAACATGCATGGAACCGACTGTTAGGGTTAAAAAGAAAAAAAAGTAGCTACGTATTAGAAAAGTAAAAAAGTAAAGCCTATAGATATGATTCATACTTCTTCTGTGAAAAGATTTTCATTATACCTAAATAAAAACACTTAAAAGATAGCTGACTGTTCTCTTCAGCAGCTTTTTATGTTTTCAGCTTAGATTCACTATCTTGCAGCTTTCTCTTTATCTTCTTTTTTGTTTGTTTATTGTATTTTATACTTAATATCCACGATCAATCCAATACCTCTTGAACTTAGAATGCGTATCAAACATAAAACGGGTACGCCACAAATATTCATGATATGGACTTGTCTCTATTTCGTGTATATATTTATTCAGATATGACATGTCAAAACTCTAGGCTTCTAGCTACTTAATTCTTTCTATAATTTTTAATTGGTACACCTTATGTTCAAACTGTAAGTAGTTTTGGTTCAAATCACAAATATTAAGAAAAAAAAACTTTTCTTTTGTCTTTAGCATATAATTAAAAAGAGAAGGTGACAAATGATATATCATTATCTTTAGTTTCTTGTTTAAGTATTGTTTTATCACTTTAGTTTTTGCATTGCATCTTGAAAACAGTTTACATTGTGATTTTTAAACTACTATATATTGAAATAGAGAGTACAGTAAAAAAACTCTATAAAGTAATAATGTTGGCCGTATGGTATATTATCAATTTATAAAGTTTTTTTTTTGTTAACACTCATTTTTAAAAGATCAAGTGGTGGTTGAGTTTGAATCATTCCGAATATACGTTCGGTCCGACCGGTCTGATAATAGAAGATATCAATAATAGAGTTATTAGTTTACAAAAGAAAATATTTCTTAGATTTTTCTATGTTAAATATATTTTTCTAAAATAAGAAAAATATGTGATTTTAGAATATCTCCAAAACAATTCTCTATTTGATGTTTAAAGATGTTGTGCACCAAAAACAAAACTTCAAACTTAACTTCAAAACTATTTGTATTTTATGTTATTGTCCTTCTATTTGTCATAACTAATTCAAATTCATTGAACTTCTATAAATAACTATCACCCATATAAAAATATTACATTACATCAATATTAATTGATAAAATGTTACACTAAAACATAAAATTATAAATAGAACAAATAATTAAATATTAAACTACAAATAAAATACTACATTAAGTCTTGTAATATTTTTCTTGTACAGATATAGTTTTAAAATATTTTAAACCTTATATTGATGTTTTAAAAAATATTATGTAAAATTTAAATTTATAAAAAGAATTTTGAAATATTTATGAGATAAGAGTTTTTAAGGATTAAAATGATAAACAACAAAATATTTAAGAACTATTCATATGACTGTAATTGTAAGGACCAAAATGCAAATAAAATATGAAAGATTGTAATTTTAAGAACCAAAATGCAAATTAAATATGAAACTTCAAAATTGAAATTTTGAGTGGTGACACTTTATCTTTGAAGTTATAGAGTTCCTTTTCGAAGAGCCAAAAAAATTAATATTTGAAGTTATAGAGTGAATTTGGAGATTCTTTTAGTGTATATATATTGACTAATATTTTGAAATTCATTATTATATTATTTGGTGTATATAAAACATATTTTATAGAATTTAAATATAGTTATTCTAAATCTAATCAAATATATTAAGTGTAAGTAAGTATAAATAAATTCCATTATAAATAGAAAACAGACAATATAATGATTTATTTATACTATATAATATTTATATACATATAAACTATTAATTTATAGTGTTAATGGGACTCTATATTTACATAAATTTTTATAAAAAGTTATTATTTTATTATCTTATCGATTTAGGTCGTATTTTGAACCAGTACAACTTGGAGCCGGAAAATGTTATTAATTTTTGGTGTTTATTTGTTTATAAATATTAATTTATATAAATTTTACTTTATTATGATTGGTTTGTTGGACCCACCTAGGCCTTATTAGGAATTGAGTTATTTAGTACTGGGCCGTTTATGTTCCATTGAGTGGCTTCGTTGTATTGATTAATTGGAACTTCAACTAGTGTATCAGTCTATGATTCAGCTTTGACAACGCAGAAGCATTTCAATAGTAGGAAAAGGAAAAAAAGTCAAAAACAAAACCATCTTTTATTTCGAAACTACCAAATAAAATATAGTAAGTCCCTACAGTGATACCCAATGATGTTTAAACCCAACACACATTCGCCTTTAACTAAGTTCAGAATTATTCGGAACGTATTTGATACATGCACGTTCGTGTCAATAACCAACGTATAGGCTGGAGGAAGCCCGTCCCGGTGGAGTCTGAGGTGGAAGAAGTGTTACCGTAGCTCCTGGATAGATTACATATTGAGATCCTGCGATGATAAATTCAACCCCAAAAAGGATCTACAGTATTTTTTGAGTATAACGTTCTGTTAATCATGATAGAAAAGAAAAAAAATTCACATCACTAGTTACGGTGTCTCGATCTTATTATATTTTCCCAAGACTAATTACCACAGAACCCACCTTTTCATTAGCGTAGACTGTAGTTTGAGTAAGCTTAAAGCATGTCTTTTTAATAAGTTTTTTTTATAAAGTTCCAGATTAACGAATTATCTAATTAGATAACGAAATATTTTACTGACAAAAATCATTGTATATGTGACCATTAAGTGCCAAAGTCCGGCAAATAATGAGTAGGCATATTGAGCTAATTAGCTTGAGATATTGTTGGAATAGAAAAATTACGGGCTGCTTTCGGTTTAATCCATACTAGAACTTGATGTGAATTCTCGTGCAGATATTTGATTTAACTGGTGCTTAATAAAAACTCATAAACTACTGATTTTATAAAAAAATTTTTAATATTTTGTAATTTACATATAGAATAAAATATATTATTTTATAATATAAATGTTTAACAGTATTTTTTTATTTGTACATAGTATTATATTAGAATTTTTATAACTATATGTAAATTACAAAATATTATAAAGCAATTTAATGTAATTATATTCATACATTAACATGTTATTTTGTTTTGTTAATTTATTTTAAAATGCAATAACATACTAAAATAATTTTTTTTACATTAGTTTTATGAATTCTCATTAATCTTATGATTTTTTTTTCTTGCAAATTGAACACGAGAATTTTCTATTTAACTTATTAAATAAAGTAATACTATATTTATTTTATATAACATATACTATATATTTCCGTTTGTGTTTTTATTTTCATCCAAAAAAAACCAGTGTAGTTATTTAATTATTTATTAATTTTAAATGTAATGGCATAATCTATAAATAAAAAGTATACAAAAGGAAAATATTTTATTTATTGTAAATGAATGGCTAAATGTACAAATAAAAAGAAATAATTAACTTGCTATCCATATTTCCAAACAATTTTCATTTATCTTATTATCCTTATTTCCAAACAGTACCAAAATGTATTTCAGCTTTAATAAGACAAATATTAAATCATTGAAGCTGTAAGGATAACTGATGATAATCTACTATTTCTTATGTTTTATAATAAGTATCATTTTAATCTCTTTTTTTGTTGCGAAAAAGTGTCACTTTATAATTCTAATACAAATTATACTTATTTTCAACTAAAAACTAATTAAAAACTTCATTGATTTTATAAATAATTTTATTTATCTTAAATACTATTGATTAGAAAGTTATAATTTATCATCTTACATATATTTTCGCTGTTTTTTAATCTTTGTATTAAGTGACTTATTCAGAAACGGAAGGAGTATATTTTCATTTTTTTTTATATTTTAATCTGAGGGACAAAACCCCCAAATTTATTTCTAAAATCCATTACAAAAACCAGTCTTGCTAGTGAAAACATCTATGGATGGCCGAAGATAATTGAAAGCGTAATAAAAAACTCAAACTCCGAAAGATTAACATTTATATCAACCCTTCCACCATTAGTTAATAGATCAGAATTTGGTTCACATGATCTACCAACTGATATGCGATTTTCTTCTTCCTTAAAGCCAGGCCCGACCCTGAAAAGCTAAAAAAAAATAAAGATTGGAAACTTCCCACAAAAAATAGGCCACCAAGAGGAATTTGAACTTGCTACCTATAGAAGAAACACCTATTATTTAACCATCTGAGATATAATAACTTTTGTGAAAAAATGCCGAAAACTTTATTTTATTTTAAGGGCCAGATGCAGATGCTTATAATGCTTCTACCCAGGACCACTACTGCTTAAAGCCAAGTACATATAGTATGAATTAGGCCTGGGCATAAATATCAGACCCGAGGACCCGACCCGGACCGACCCAAAAAAACCGGGTTCGGGTGTATTCGGTTCTTGAGAAATACCCGATTGGGTTTTGCCTTTGGCTATTTTCGGGTAACGGTTCGGGTCAGTTATTAACCGATACTCAATTAAGTACCCGATTGAACCGAACCTAAACCTACCTTCATTAAGTTATCTCCATGTGTACCCGACCAGAAAGCATTAAGCTTTATTTTTGATTCTACCAATTCACCTCTTCATCTTCGGCGATTCTTCTCGAGAACATGGATCGTCTCTGAGAAAATCAAAACCGAACCTCATAAACCCTAACTCTGATTATCTATAAATGGAGAGCCCTGATCGCTGCAGTTCTTCACGATTCACAGCGACTCAAGAACTCGATCTAAGGTTTACACTTTACAATCCAAAATCCTAAGTTTATTTTTTCCATTTTTCAATCCGATTCACAGCGAGACAAGAACTCGATCTATAGTTATTTTTTTCTGTTTTTTCAGTTAGTTCTTAAATTTTATGCATGTTTTTTTTTCTGTTATTTCAGTTGTGATAAATCAATTGTGATAGATTTCTAGTTATTTTTTCTTCTGTTTTTTTTTTCAGTTGTGTTAGATCAATCTTTCTTTAATTTTGTGCATGTTTTTATTTGACAACTTAACTCATTCTCGTGTTTGTGTTTTTATTTTGTAGATGGCTTCATCAACAACTCCGAATGGAAAAGACAATGTTGATCAAAGAGAGCAAGAGACAGAAACAGATGTAACACAACAAGAGTTTGCAACTCCTGACAGTCGAGGAAAAAGAAAAGAAGTCCCCGGCTCAAGCAGAGGTACGTCTCAACCATCGAAGGCGACAAAAATGCTTAACTCACGGTCAGGTGTTTGGGAGCACTACACAAGGACGACAGACAATCGAGACAAATGCATCTGTCACTATTGCAAGAAGACCTTCGCTTGTCCAACCAAATCAGGGACGTCTAACCTGCAGAAACATCTTAACACCTGCAAACATTACAAAGCGTGGGAAGAGGGAAAGATTCGTACTCAGCCTGCAATCAGTGAAGATGGTTATCTGAAGAATGCCAAGGTTTCAGATGATGTATTCAAGGAAGCTACGAACCAGATGCTTGTCCTTGGTGAGATGCCACTTTCCTTTGTGGAAAGCTTGGCATGGAAGTGTTTCTGCAACAAGGTGAATCTGCCAAAGCCACACTCTAGGAGGACTGCAACAAGACACATTGTTGAGATGTACGTGAAGAAAAAAGCTGCATTGAGGGAATGGTTCTCAGCTAACAAACAGAGAGTGTCTCTTACAACTGACATATGGGTCGCTCAATCTACAGGTAATGGTGTTAAACAGTTAGTGTGTTAATTATTTTTTAGCTTATTATTTGTTAGTCTGATTTTATATATAACGACTAACTTGTTTTTGTTTGGTTTCGTATAGGTGCTAGTTATATGGTGATCACATCTCATTTCATCGATCAATGGAAACTGAAGAAGCTGATCCTTGGCTTTAAGTTCATCACAGATCACAAAGGTCAGACAATTTCAACGGTTCTACTTGAGTGTTTAGCTGATTGGGGTATAGAGAAGGTTTTTTGTATCACTGTTGACAACGTAACTGCAAATACATCGGCTCTTAGGAAGTTTAAGAGTAGTTTTGGTTTGTTTGGTAATGATGCAATGGTTCTATATGGGGATTTTATGCATTTGCGTTGTTCTGCTCACATCATAAACTTGATAGTGAAAGAAGGTTTGGCTGCTGTGGATCTTAATGTTTCTGCTATTCGTAATGTTGTTTCCTATGTAAGATCAAGCACAACTAGACTAAGATCGTTTGAACTAAGGGTTGATTCAGGGAAGTTAACCAGAGGAAGTCTGCCTTTAGATTGTAAGACTCGCTGGAATTCTACATAGTTGATGTTGTCAAAGGCTCTTGAGTTCAGGGTTGCATTCAACAAGATGGAGGCAGAGGACAGGCTTTACAATGATCACTTCTTGGAGTTTGAGAATGGAAGCAAACGCGTTGGACCTCCTGAGATTGTTGACTGGAATGCCATCGAGAGGTTAGTGCGGTTTCTCGTTATCTTCTACAACTCCACCTTGGTTGTATCAGCATCTACTTCTTTGAACTCTTTTAAGTGTTACGGTGAGATAGTAACAATAGAGAAGAACCTGATTGGATTGACGAATAGTTTAGACTTGGATTTGAAGAGTAAGGCTGAGGAGATGATTAAGAAATTTGATAAGTATTGGGATGGTATGAGGAACATCAACAAGATGTTGATAATAGCAACTGTCTTTGATCCTAGGAAGAAGATGCAGTTTGGTAAGATGTGTTTTGAGAAACTGTATGGTAAAGATACCTCAGATGCTAAAGAAATGTTTCAGTCTGTCATGGAAGTCCTTCGCGATTTGTTTAAAGAGTACAGTGCTCGGTTTGGTCCTGCTTTAGGCGATCAACCATCTCAGGCGACACAAGCTCCATCATGTGGTAGCCAAGAGCAGTCAGCGTATGAAATGATCAATTTGATTGATGAGTTTGGGTATGAGAGGATGGACTGCATGTATGAAGAGTTGGTTGAGCTGATAGAAGTTCGATAAGCACAAGATGAGTTGGAAACTTATCTGAAAGAGAGTGTTATCAATCCGAGAACCATGTTTGGAGTGGAGTTTGATGTTCTATCTTGGTGGAAGGTACATTGCTCCAAGTTTCCTATTCTTGCAGAGATTGCTCGTGATGTCCTTGCCATTCAAGTCTCATCTGTTGCTTCTGAAAGTGCATTTAGCACTAGTGGCCGAATTGTTAACCCTCATAGGAGTTGCTTAACTCACTATATGATTGAAGTTCTAATGTGTTCTGAGCAATGGATGAAGACATATTTTCGTGGCAGTGAAGGCAGAGTGATGACAATGGAACAAATTCTCAGTGAATTTGAGTATGAAGACAAGCTAATGAGAGGTAACACAACTCATATCTTATCAGTTATCACTTAAACTTTTCTATCACATTTTCTTGACAATGCTTTTCTTTATAACTTGTTTCAGAGTTTGATTCTCAAGCAACACAAGAGGAATGAGTCTTGACAAGAGCTTTAGAGTTTGGAGCAATGGAGGATGCATTTAGGAGAAGTGGAGGATGTGCTTGGTCGGTTTTTCTTTGCAGTATTTTGGTGTTCTAGGTTTTTTCTTTGTTTGTTCAATTGTTGTTGTTCCTTTGTTGTTTTGAAAACTTGATTTGCGGTTAAATTATCATCGGTGTATGCTAATTCCTTTTTCAACTATGGAATGATTTTCAGTTTAATTATACAACTTTGTTTTTTTTTTATGGTTAGTTTGGTTACTTTTAAGAACCGAATAAGTACATTGGTTACATTTAACCAATGTACTTCTTATTACAATGAGTATTTGGTTACTTTTAAGAACCGAATAAGTACATTGGTTACATTTAACCAAATTACTTCTTATTACAATGAGTATTTGGTTATTTTCGGTTTTTGAAACTTAGAACCGAACCCACCCGGACCCGCTTATACCCGACTCGAACCCGACCCGGAATTTATAAATACCCGATTGAGTCTTCGCATTGCAAACCCGAATAACCCGATACCCGAAAGACCCGACCCGGACCCGAACGAGTACCCGAACGCCCAGGCCTAGTACGAATGATCCCATATGACCAGTTATATAAGATTAATTCATGGATTTCTTTTCGTACTTTTTGAGACAATAGGTAAGTTTCAAAAATGCTTTAATATATCCACAGGTTTAATTATTTCTTCCATCACTTGATTTTTTAAAGTCCATAGAGACAAATAATACAACAAGTCACACAGAAGAGGAGGAAACAAATTCCTTTTCCAAAATATCCGAAAGTCCAAAACCTTACAAGTAATAAACTTAATCGACTAGTTTACTCCAACAAATTCACCATCTCTTTCCACTCTCTCTCTATATATATGTAATTTACAAGTTGCAAGAAGTCGTCATAAAATAGTAGTCCCTTATATTTAACAAAAACTATAAAACAATATGAGCACATTTCTTTGCCTTTGCCTTGTCCTCATCTTCTTCTATATGGTCTCATCTGCCACATCCGCCACTCTTACGGTGAATTGGTCCCTTGGCACCGACTACACCCCGCTTGCCAGCGCAAAGACCTTTGCCGTCGGCGATACCATCGGTGACTCATTTCTTAACTCCCTCGAGACTTCTTTTGACTCATAGTTCTTAACTATTTTTCTTTACGTATATATATTTATTAGATTGAGATGAAATTCTGTGACAAACAAAAGAAGAAGATTGAGATGAAATTTAAAAAAACGAAAGAAAATAGTCCGGCAAAAAGCTAATATTGAGGTGATAAAAGGAATATGATGAGACAATGGTCTTATTTACGTAGAATGAACATGTAAACCTAAAAATAATCAAGTACTACTTGAAATAACAAGTGTATATATGGATTCACAATTGTGACAACATTAATATTGCTACAATTGTGGTACTCAGTGTTTAGCTATAGTGCGGGTCACACTGTAGACGAAGTGAGCGAGAATGACTACAAGAGTTGTACTTTAGGGAACTCCATTACCTCCGATAGCAGCGGAACAACGACCATAGCTCTCCAGACCACTGGTCCTCGCTATTTCATATGTGGAATCCCCGGCCATTGCTCTACCGGTATGAAGCTCGCCCTCACCGTCGCTTCAACCTCCTCAAACAGTGTAGGAGGCAGCACCACCACACCAACCCCTTTCACCGGAGGTGGTGGCACCACCACGCCAACCCCTTTCACGGGAGGCGGTGGTTACGTTCCCACGACCACACAGGCTATTCCTTGTGGTGGTTGGGCCGTGTCCTCTCCATTATGGGCTTTGGTTGTGACTTGGGCCGTTTTGTTTTATGCCTTGGATTTGTCTTAGTTGAAAATTTATTGTATGCGTGTGTTGTAGTGTTAGTTACCAAAATGATAATACATGTAGAATTGTTCGTCTCTAATTTTTTTTTAGCATACTGAATTTGGATACAAAAGAATAGCAATATTTTCATGTGTCTGTATGTGAGAGCATCTTCTGAGTATGATGCTCCCTAAAGCATCAGATCCACCTTCACACCTAATTAGGTGGATGCCACTGGATCTCCTACATCTATATTCTAAACCGTCCATCTAAACATAAAACATTGTATATCGTTTGCATTGTGTTTTTAACCAAGAGATGGTGACCATATGACAGATTTCAAAAGGTTATACTGGATTAGACATCAAATTTAAAGATTACTAATCATGATCCGCGTGCCCACGCGAGTTTTATTTTTATTTAAACAAAATGTTTATTTATTTTATACTGCTTAGTTTTATATAGTTTAAAGTTTGTTCATACTTATTTTATATGATTTAAACAATATGATTAAAATTATATATTGTATTAATAGTTTTTCATAAGTGTATTATACATATATGTGCGGTGAAAACCTTAACTTGATTACCCGAATTCAAACTTGTAAAAATCTGAAATGAACCCTAACCGAATATTCAAACCTAAAAAACTTGAAACCTAAATAAATTCGAACCAAACTCGAATAACTCCCAAATGTCCACCCATAATTTAAAGTTTTAGAGTTGGTCAATTTCATAGTATTGAATTTATAGTATTTAAACCAATATGTGTTTATATCAATATAAATATTAATAGATTAGACTAACGAATTGTCTGTAAACTATTGACATAAATGAAGATATATAATATATTTGGTTTATAATAAAAAAAATAGTACATATTTATAGATTAATATATTGGTTAAATAATATAATAGATATAGAGAAATATTCGAATTGAAAATCTATCTATATAAAGAAGCATTCTCTCTTCATTTAAGCTTCCACGTCATCGTTTTTTGAGGAGCAATGTGAGGCTTCCACGTCAACTGTTTTAACAACACGAACATGTTTGTGTCTTTCTTCATCCTTTTCTAATGTCTTTATGTTTGGACTTCTTTCTTCATCCTTTTCTAATGTCAGAATTGATGACATACTGTGNAATCTATCTATATAAAGAAGCATTCTCTCTTCATTTAAGCTTCCACGTCATCGTTTTTTGAGGAGCAATGTGAGGCTTCCACGTCAACTGTTTTAACAACACGAACATGTTTGTGTCTTTCTTCATCCTTTTCTAATGTCTTTATGTTTGGACTTCTTTCTTCATCCTTTTCTAATGTCAGAATTGATGACATACTGTGTAGATAAGAGGCTTGAAAGCGGAGGATTGTTCTCACCGGGATGATATCGGCGTTCAGTTGCCCGTCATTGATGGAGAAGACGACTTCGTCTAATTACAGACATATTTGTTTCTTTAAATTTTTAAAGTCATAAACTATTTACTCATTTATGTTATCTAGGCCCAATATCTAGCCCAATTATTTTCTTTCAATTTACACAAACAGAATAAAACGAATAGGTCCAAAACAAAAAACAAATGTCAACAAGAAACTTTGTGAACAAATTTCATGTAAAAAAAAACAAATAAATAACAAAAAAAACCGGATTGGATGCAAATGAAATAAAATTTACGTTTACCAATTAGGCTTGGATGTTTCGGGTGACGGTTCGGTTCGGTCCGGATATTTTGAGTTTTGGGTGGTTTGAGTAGGTGGTTAGAGGATCTTTTTACTACTTGACATATTTTCGGTCCGGTTCGGTTTGGAAAGTTTTGGATTCGGTTCAGTTCGGATAGTAAAATTAGGAATCAAAAAAATATATAGAGAATTCGGTTATCAATTAGTTCCGGTTCTGATTCGGGTTCGGGTTCGGGTAGTTCGGATAAATTATCAGTTATGATAATAAGAACGATTTAGATACAAATATAAGATATTGGATATTTGGATAAAATTATCCGTATACTTTTACGTAGTTCGGAAACTTTATAATTATTTAGTTATCTTCAACTATTTTTGGATAGTTCTAATAGATTTTTAAATTAAAATCATAAATTTGGTTATATTATATGTATATAAAATTAATATTATTAAAAATTCATGTACCCGTTCGGTTATCTTGGATATATAAATATAAGAACCGTTTGGATATTTAACAATAAACCAATCCACTATACAAAACATCATCTAATACCAAAAAAATAAAATAAAATAAAACAACTAATACAACAAAAAACGTAAAGAAATTCACAGAACCCCGCCCGTAGGGCGGGCCAAACCCTAGTNATTATTAAAAATTCATGTACCCGTTCGGTTATCTTGGATATATAAATATAAGAACCGTTTGGATATTTAACAATAAACCAATCCACTATACAAAACATCATCTAATACCAAAAAAATAAAATAAAATAAAACAACTAATACAACAAAAAACGTAAAGAAATTCACAGAACCCCGCCCGTAGGGCGGGCCAAACCCTAGTATCATATAAGATATATAGAAGAAAATAGTTATGATTGTCAATAAAATATTATTTAAGCAAATATCTTATTAAATGTTGAGTTAATAATTAAGATAAACTAAATAATAAGAGGTTAACTTTAAAATACACCTAAAAAGTTGTAATGTTTATGTTTTAATAATATAGATTACATGTTAGTTTACATTGGCCATTGTTTAATTTCTATTGAAAATTAAATTTTGTGAACGTATCAGAAATCATTCTTGGCCTCGATATGGTGGTTTGGTTTAAAATTAAGAGTTGTTTCTACGTATGACTCATGTATTTTGGTCGATCGTAAGCTAGTATTTTCGCTCTGTTTACAATTAAATTGTCTTTTGCTTAACCACTTCCAAAAGTACATTATACTATTAGAATAAAATATGGTAAGTATGAACCGGTGACCACTGATTTTTTGGATTCTTAGGAAATTGTTAATAACAAATAGAAAAAGAAATGTCTCGGAAGCATCATATAGAAATCATAACCAGCTAGCAAGCGCCTATAAAATGAACACAAACAACATAGGGGACAACGGCGAGTAGAAGAAAAACAAAAACACAAACTAGGTCACCACCAATAACAATGGCTAACGTTTTCCTCATCAGTAGCAGAAACAGAAGATCATTACGAACAACAACAGATTCGAAACACAAGAATCTCACGTTGAAGAGATCAGAGTCTTCTTCAGACAACAACTACTCATGCAAGAAACATCCCAAGCACAGACAATCTCCTGGAATATGTTCCCGCTGTCTCAATGAAAGCCTCTCCAAGTTGTCTCTCGATTTCTATGACTATAGCTCAAGCATGAGCTCGTCTTCTTTAAAAAACGTGGCTAAAACGGTATCGTCTTGCTCTTCGGCTTCTTCAGAAGCAGAGTCAGATTATTCTTCGACGGCAATCTCTTCTTATTATTCTTCGGTCTCTTCTTGTTTGTCTCCTCTGCAACATCGATACAGTGAGATCGTAGTTAATAAGAAAAAGAAGAAGCATCCCAAGAAACAAAATTTCCTCTCTAGATTATTTATGTAATTATTACTTACCACATTTTTGGTTTAATATATTCATTTTTATTTGTTTTTAAATCCCGGAAATACAGGGTAACAATAGCATTACAAGATCTCAACGAACTTTTGACAAAAATAAGATCTCAACAAATAATCAAATTTATATATGTAGAATTAAAAGGGGAAAGATCTACGTCAGAAGAGTCAGAACTATGTGCATCTTTATTTCTTGATAGTATTTCTCTTAAAAAATTATCGATAAAATGTAGAATAAATAATATTTTAAGTTCTTGAATTTGTACTTAGAATGTGATCAATTTGCAGTGCCCTTCATGTGAGAACTAGTATTCAGAAAAACACAATGAAAACTAGAGCTGTGATTGGTTGGCACATGACATGACCAGTTGGCAGAAACAGGGTAAATAATACAATGAGAAGACAAAGACGTGTTGTGCTTCCTCTATCCAGTCAGTTTTACAGCTGGTCAAAATGTAAAATACATATAACAGAAATGTACTAAGCCGTACCATCACAATACATATTACAGAAATGTAATTAAATTTTTATTTGTTCCTTTCAACACAAAGTAGTAATCCAATCATGCTAGATATCATTAGTAAAAATACATGTAAAAACATTAGTGAAACAGTGTAAAACTTTTAATATTTTTAAAATTAGTAAATCATCTGCCAAAGCTGCATTATAAAATGGGGAATTGGTAATTTTACAGCATGTGTATAAAGCCTTTTACTTGGGACTCGAAAAAGCTTTGATCACAGTTCACAGCCCACGAGATCTGCCTTAAAAACTTGCTTGTTAAGTTGACTATAAGCTGTGTTAATTATCAAGAACTTGTAACTAATCACTAGTTAATGATAATGTTCACAATAATAATCTATAAGAAGACAAGAGATCATGGAGTAGTTGGCTAAATGTTTTTTTTTTAATATAAGTCGGCTAAATGTTAAAAGACCGAGTTAGGAGGAAATGAGAGTGGGTGGGTTGTACAAACAGAAGATGTACAACTGAAGTGTCTAAGAAGTGATGTATATCTACTCAGCCGTTTTCCACGAACATTCTCTCTTTTCTTTGTCTTTATCTCCCACGTGATGTCTCGACTATTCTTTCCGTACCAAAACGAATACATCCTGTTGGCTATTCTGTAATACACAATTATTTTGTAGATATCTCGTGTTCATCATCTAATTTTCTTTGGTATAGTAATATACTTGCTGGTATATAGTCTGCTTTGTATGCTCTATTTCAGTGAAGTTAAGAAAACTGTTCCCATATATATACTATATTCTGCTGATTTCCGTATTTGATACCTAAAACTTTGATTGATAATTTAACGATTGGGAATGTGTTTTAATGTTATTTGACAATTTTACACCAGTAACGAACATAATGTTTTTTTTTTTAACATACATGCTAGGGCTCGGCAAAATATCCGGATCCGAAGAACCGACCCGAAATCTACCCGAAAATCAGGATCTCGAACCCATTCGGACCCGGAGTAAATAATTGAATGATTCTAAATTACTATATCCGAGAAACTGGTCCCGAACCTGATCCAAATCAAGAATCGGATGAGTAACTGAAATATCCTAAATGTAAACATATATATCTGAAAATATTATTTATAATTATACTTATAATTATTTTAATAATTTTAAATTATTTTATTTAAAGTAAATATGTTAGTTATTTTGGTATTTTGAGTATTTTTAGATAAAATATGGTATTTCTGATAGAAAATATAATATTTGATAGAAAATACCTGAAGAAAACTGTGTCTAACAAATACTTTTGATTATGTCTAGGTAAAATAGATAGTTTAGATATAATACATCGAAACCATATCGGGTAATATGGTTATTTCGGGTACAAATAACCGAATCCGTTTCAGATACATTGGTTATTTGGTTATTTTTATGTTCCTATACATCAGACCCGAACCCACCTGGATCCGGAAAGATCTGACTTGAACCTGACTTTGAACCCGACCCGTAAATTCATAATGCTCGAATGAGTTCTTAATTCAGAACTCAATACTCGAAAGAACCGATCCGTACCCGAATGTCCAGCCTACTACAAAGTACAACACGAAGAAATAATTCTGAAAATGAACCTACAAACCAGAGAATGAAACTGTTTAAATTACAATGTTAAGATGTCTTGTTTTCCTGGTTTAGTGAAAGTGCACTATCCAATGCAGAGACATTGGCCTGATACTATAGTAATACCAGGAACTGTAGGCCTCTTCTACATTGGCGTTGCTCAGCAGCTGTCCGAGCTGGAGAGCCCCTTGCCTACATTTTTAGTATTCAGGTAAATAACCTTACCATGACATTAGGACTGGTCCTCGGAATTAGTAGGTCTAAGAAAATTTTCTAACGATTTCACCTAAATTTTTTTTACAGATTCGAAAACCTAAAATAATTTTTAGAGATTTATGTACATGTAATTTTTTTCAAAAAAAATTGGAAGTCTAAGACTAATGTTTTATTCGGTTTGGCTCAAAGCCGGCCCTGCAGGACATATAACTTCGGTTTGTTATTTAGAGAGAAAAGTGTACTAAAACCGGTTCAATTCATATGATTACATTACTGACATTCAGCATTCTCCATTTCTTTGTAGGCACATGCGAAGCTTGTAGCATATCTTTACCGTAATGGTGGTGGTTGCGGGTTTGGTTCTAGTATCCTCTGTGGTATACCAGAGACAAAAGTCACAGAACATGGAAGATATGGTTACCAATTACTTGGCATTGACACGTAAAACTTGTTTGTCCAATAGACATTTTTTTCAAAGTGAATTTTTTAATTAGTAACAGAATAAAAAAAAAGAATATATTATTGTCTTCCATCTCTACATGATATTTTATGTAATGGTTACGTGTAATAAATTTTATAAATCGATAGACTGTCCTTTTACAAATATAGAAATCGTCTCCTCATCTCACCATTAAGACACCCATTATTTCTCTGTAGATCAGGTCAAATGTCACGTGACCCTTCTCTTACCGTTATGGCTTCTTACCACATCTTTAAAAATAGAATACAAGACCCAATCAAAAGTCAAAAGATATATCCCATCGATTTGAATTCTATACTTTCCTTTTTTGGCAAAACACATCTCCTACCGTTATAGAAAGCTCATTCACTCACAATCAAAAGAATAAGATCAAGATCCGGTTATTCTGAATCGTTGTATCTTGAATGTTGTCGTTTGGATCATTCTCATAGAAATGCGACGGCGGAGGAAGACGCTTCTGGTGGTGGTGATACGGAGACTGCTAACATGTGCCATATGCGTAATAGCATTGCTTGGCTTCCTCACCATACACATCTACGTTGCTCCTCTCAACAGACTCCCTAGGCTTCATCTTAACAAATACACCACTACTAGTGTACGTAACCAATCTCTATTCATTCGAGAAGTTTTTGTAAAAGATTGATACGTACGTTTTGTTTCGAGGGAAGAGTAGTGTTTCAATGTTAACTCGTTTTCAGGATTTGATTATTTGTTCAGCAGCGAGGAGGACATATCAAGTACGAAAAATCCATTACAGAACAAAGCTCCACGAGGAACCTATCTCGTCGGGAAACGATTGAATCTCCATCCATCTTCTCTAATCCCAAGGTTGAATAAATACAGACATTTCTTGGCATCTTCTTGCTTGAAGTAAAGCTATCAATGTGGTTTCATTTTGAATGTGTGGCTGACTCTTTGTAAAATTTGCAGAAGAGCGAGATTCAGAATCAGATATTAACTTCAAAACACATCAACAATACACATGAGCTATCTCCACCTCCTTTCGTGACAAGCCCTTCTTCTTCCAAGGTACAACTTAGGGGTGGCCTAATACTATATATTATCTCGCTGCTTGTAAGTAAATATTTAGTAATTGGGAGAATTATCAATGTTTGTATGAAGATAAGTAAAACTAAAAGACAATACGTCAATATATATATAGACACTAATCTACTATGCTTAGAGCGAGAGTTCGAGAGTGGATATTAACTTAGAACATGACTAGATAGATCATGTGCTTCTTTCGTGTTTTTCACTCTTTTTAGATTTGACAGTTGAACACTACAAGCGGGATAGCAGATTTTGACAAGCTTTGGAAACATCCACCTAACCGCAACTTCGTCCCTTGTGTCAATCCCAATCCTACTTACATATGTGAGAAACACACATATCCGTCTGGTTTTTTTTTTTTTTTTTATGTAACCAAAATTGACTCTTGAATAACAAATTTGTACATACTCTCTTGGTTATTTGTCTCCTCAGCTCCATTGGAGTCTAGAGGGTATCTTCTTGTTCACACGAATGGCGGTCTTAACCAGATGCGTGCTGGGGTAAGTGTGTACAGTATACTCTGAACTCACAAGTATGAAAATACTTATGGCTATGTGACAAATTTTTACAGATATGTGACATGGTAGCTATAGCTCGTATTATAAATGCCACACTTGTAGTCCCGGAGCTTGATAAACGATCTTTCTGGCAGGATACTAGGTTAACCCCCATCTTTCTTTTCTTAGCATTTCTTGAACTTGTTTTAACATGTTTCTCATTTTGAGGTTGATCCAGTAAATTCGCGGATGTGTTTGATGAAGATCACTTCATTAGTACATTATCTAAAGATATAAGAGTCATCAAGAAGCTACCAAAAGGTATTGATGGACTCACAAAGGTGGTTAAGCATTTCAAAAGCTATTCAGGATTGATATATTACCAAAAGGAGATAGCTACCATGTGGGATGAATACAAGGTGATCATCATATTCTTAAACTGCTTCTCTTGCCTGTGTACTTTTAAAACTGTTATGAATATTGTAATGATGTTATCTTCCTTCTTCACTCAGGTGATCAGAGCTGCCAAATCCGATTCTCGTCTAGTTAATAACGGTCTACCTCCAGATATTCAAAAGCTTCGTTGCCGTGCTTGTTATGAGGCTCTACGCTTCTCTACTAAAATCAGATCAATGGGACAAGTAAAACTATTTATATAACCATCTCATATGATATAAGTATATATATCTTCTTCTCTCCAACAATTATGTTATGTTGCAGATTTTAGTCGATAGGATGAGATCTTATGGTCTATACATCTCATTGCATTTGAGATACGAGAAAGACATGCTAGCTTTTAGCGGCTGCAACCATGGTTTATCTGCTTCTGAAGCTGCTGAGCTAAGGAAGATAAGGTAAACCAAAACAAAACAAAACAAAAACAAACTTATTTGTGTAAATATTTGCTAATAAGAAGATTGAGGGTTTAGGAAGAACACAGCGTATTGGAAAGTTAAAGACATTGATGGAAGAGTACAGAGACTCAAAGGGAATTGTCCATTGACTCCAAAAGAAGTTGGAATTTTGCTAACAGCTTTAGGATATGCACCAAACACACCAGTATATATAGCTGCTGGTGAGATTTATGGTGGTGAGTCTCGGTTAGCAAGTCTTGCCTCTCGTTTCTCCATGTTAATGAGTAAGGTACTACTACAATTAATGTTTCAAGATTTTGGTTTATTATTATTACCAAGTAGTGGGGTCGAATAAACACTGGCCCCTTTGTGTGATGTGATACAATAAAGGAAAAGTTGGCAACAAAAGAAGAGCTTAAGCCTTTCATGAACCACTCAACTCAAATGGCTGCACTTGACTACATCGTTTCAGTAGAAAGCGATGTTTTTATTCCATCTTATAGTGGAAACATGGCGAGAGCTGTTGAAGGGCATCGTCGGTTTCTTGGACACCGGAAAACAATCTCTCCGGACAGGTACTGAATCGTGTTGCTTTTGTTGTTGTTTTAAGTCATGGAATCTTTAGTTACTTACATTTTGCGTTGTATTTTTATGATTTAGGAAAGGCATTGTTAGGTTGATAGACAAAATTGGAAGAGGAGCTGAGAAAGATAACAAGAAAGTGTATGAAAGAATGATAGAGATCCACAAAACTCGGTAAAGCAAAAACCATTAGTTTTAATGAAATACTACTACTCATCTCCATATTGTAGTGATACTTATTAGGAGCTGTGGGGCTTATAATAATACAGACAAGGATCACCAAGGAGGAGAAAAGGACCAGCTTCAGGAACAAAAGGTTTGGAGAGATATCGTTCTGAGGAGTCTTTCTACGAAAATCCATTACCGGACTGTCTCTGTCAGAGAGTGAGATGATGGTCATGAGATATTTTGATTTAACAGAGGCTTGTTGGATCTGCTACTGCTTCTTGCCATTGGGGACACACGACAAAGTTTAACGTTAGTTATAAACATACAGCTATTTATAGTGAAAACCACCACTTTTGATGGATGATGCATCAGATGTAGTAATCACACAGTCTTGGTGAATGAATGAGATATAATACCCATTTTCTTCATGTTTTGAACCATATCATTCAGCATCCATAAAGTTTTTCCATGGAAAATAACATAAAACGAACAGCATATCAGAATCGGATGATCCTCAAAATTTAAGTTGAACAATTTGAGACTATTAAGTATTTAAATTCTCACATTTTTAGCATGGGCAAACCAGATATATGCTTCTGGTTATGTAAAAAATCTTATTGAACTCTGCAGTGTGACATGATGAAGGTAAGAAAAGCAAAAAGAGGATAATGAGGGGCATATGATTCCTTTTGAAGCAGGATTTGTCTTAAAGAGGACCAGGGAAAGTTCCATTCTCTCTTTGTTCGTTCCACTTATCAACCTACAGCATAGACAAGACGATAGAATTTGCTTTATCAGAACTAGTTTCATGACAACTTGCAACTCTTAAAATAGTGTGTATCTAAGATCTTCTTTTAAGTTATCATCATCTAATCTAGCAAATGACTGACTGGAAGCACTAAAGGAGTGAAGTATATATACCCATTCGCCGGGGCAAAGAGATCGATAAAACTTTGAAAACTTATCGCACTCAGGAGCATCGTCACCCTTGGCAGCTACACATCTGGAGATTTGAAAACAATCACAAGACTTAGCACCATGAGGAGAGATATCAGAACTACAGAAGAACATTTGATTTTTTCTTTCACCTGTGATATTCAATGTAACGTGTGAAACAATGCCTAGTTTGGTTTGTTGTCGGGAAACGGAAATCAGCAGGAGCTGTCTCAAGCTGAAAATGAGTTAAAAAATAAAAAAAAACAACACATGAGCCAACTCAGTTCATCAAAGTTAAGTCTCTCTCTTTTCTGGGTGGATAGGATAGAATAGCTAATGACAATATATATACCTTGATCTCATCAGGTGTCTCCTCAGCAACTTCTTCACTAGTGTTTTCGTCTTCAGCCGGAGCAGGAGGAGCCTCTTCAGAAGTCACTTCAGGAGGAGACTCGGACTTGTCTTCAACAGCTTCCTCAGGAGGAGAAGAATCTTCCTTGGCTTCAACCTCTTCAGCTTGTGGTGACACTTCAACACCCTTCACTTCTTTCTCCAAATGATATTGCTGCCCATATTTATAAATATAATCATTGGTGGAGATAAAAAAGATTTAACGAATTTGTAATATACTGAATCCTGTTTGTTACAATCCAAATTTTTTAACAGCTAATCTAAAAGATTTTTTTATTTTTCTCCCAAAATTCAATCTAAACTCGGCTTAAAGTTCAAATCAATCTGTTTCAAATGATAAATCATACCAAAATCTAACTGAATCAGATCTACCAAATGTAAGGAACAAAATAAAAAAAACGAAATCAAGGAAGCATCAGCTGATTCTTCAATATTACCAAACAAAGATGGGATGAAAAGAATTGAAAACTGAGAAAGTATACCTCGGAGAGCGATGATGGTGTTTGAGCAGAAACAGCTTCCGCCATTGAAACTCGGAGGAGCTTCGAGCAAATGGTTCGGTAGGTTTAGCCGTTTAGGCTCTCTTTCTCTCTCTCTCCGGACCTATCTGGTTATTTTCCGACAAAAAAAACTACGCTGTTTTGTTTTGTTACTTTAAATGGGCCCGCATTTTTAAATCATCTTTAGGCCCAATACATACGATTTTTTTTCTTTCTGGGAAACATTTTTTGGTAAAACTTGGTAATACAGAATAAATAATTCCAGATATTTACAGGAAAAGAAGATCAATTTTAACACATGCATTGGGGTACACTGTCAGTCTGTCACCAATGCTTCGTGGATGGAAACTGTTGATGTATAATGTCCATTTGGTGAACAATGGGATTATGATTATGATGATGATAACTTGGAATGAGAGAGAGACTCACATGTCCATACCATGCAAACGATTCCCTAGTTTTCTCAATTATTTATTTCCTGATAAAGTGAATTTTAGTTTAGTGTATAAGAGCAATCTCATTTTTAAAATACTACTATAAGAATATCTTAACTCACAAAATATCTGATTTTGAAAATTTCCTGCTTTTCAAAACTCCCAAAATCCTATTTGAAAATGTTTGCCAAAACTTCAAAATTTAAGTAATTTAGTTATTTTATTATTGACCTAGATGAGAATAGAGATATGCAAACAATTAAGCAAACAAACACATCTTTATTCAAATGCTCCATCCAAATGAAAATTTAAAAGTTTGAACAAACAACATTTAGATAGATCATTTGGATGGATCATTTAAATATGATGTAAAGAAAAGATACAAAAACAAACATGTCTTATAAAAACTTCAACATCGAAAAGGTAGAAAAGTACAGCCGAAGCTTCTAGCAAACCCAGCAAAAAGAGCCCAACTCTTCCAGCTCTAATTAAAGCTTGAGTAGCAACTAATTACTTATCCATCCATATGATGCAGCGGAGAGACTTTCCTTCCTCTAACAACTCGAAAGCCTTGTTGATCTCTTGAAATTTCAACTCGTGTGTAATAAAACTATCCAGATTAAGTTCCTACATACAGGTGTAAACAAACAAATAACATAATTACATAACACATAAATTGGTTGAAAATAAGAAGTAAAACAAACAATATATACTTATCATTTGTTTGTTACAATCTAATCACATAAATAGATTGATCCATGTAGTACCTTTTTTAGGTAATGATCTACGGGAACTGGAATATCCAGTTTAGATTTCAAACCACCAAACAAGCTTCCGCAAATAGTTCTGCCACTTAGAAGATCAAAACTACCCAAACTTACTGGCACTGAATGCTTCCCCATCCCCAACATTACCGTCTTTCCTGATCCCTATTTGACATTCTAAAATGTAAAACTGAACCATTGTAATGATGCTGAAACGACTGTGATTTGGTGCGATCTAGTGTAAGCGTACCGTGCGGGTGCTGATAAAAGCCTCAGTAAGTAAGGAAGGTAAACCCACGCATTCGAAACTGTAGTCAACTCCTCCTCCTGTCATTTCTCTAATCACCTTTTATATATTTTGTGTGAATAAGTTAGTATACTACTGCATCATATATTCAATGGTATAAACTCTTCAAAAAATCATATATGAGATGGTGTATTGAATAACATACCTCGCTAACCTTCTTTTCTCCGCACAAAGTAGGGTTGACGAAATCCGTGAAACCAAATTTCTTACCTATTTTCAAGTAATTTACATGGTGGTTAGTATAGTCTCTATTCTATATTATTTAATCTAATTATTTTCTATTTATTTCAAAATGATTTTTTAATTTAAGTATCTAACTGCATTTTTCTTATTGTCATTTCAATAAGTAATTGGTTATATTATTTTCTAATCATAGTAAGATAAACATGTATATATATAGTTTGCAACTATTTATAATATGTGTATTTAAAGATTATGTTACTTATAAATTATAACGAATCAGAAGAAATGATGATTTTTTCAACAAAAAATAATACAACCTGGATGGATAGACCATTTGTTATACCAACTAATAGTTATTGAAGTATATAATACCAAAATCAATTTGGTCACAATAAGCCGAAAATATCAACTTTCAGAAGGTAAAAAGACAAAAACATTTGATATGAGTATAGCACGACTTTACCTAGCTCAAATTTATCAGGATTGAGGTCAACACCGATGATCTTCCCAGCCCCACGCAGCCTGGCTCCTTCGGCAACCGCAAGTCCAACGGCACCGAGGCCAAAAACTGCAATTGTGGAACCTTCCTCCACGTTAGCCACCTTCCAAGCTGCCCCAACCCCTGCTCCATGTGAGGCCAAAACAAGACAATGTGCAATATCTAACTTTAAATAACAATGCAGCCCCTATTCTCTACTCTGTTTACGTTTTAACCCCGGATAAATTCTAAAATGTTATACAAACCCTAAAGAATGAAGATAACAAAAAAAGAAAAACCTGTGGAGACACCGCAGCTGAGCAGAGCAGCTTTCTCAACGGGGATATCAGGAGAGATTTTGACAAGATGTGCGATGTCGACCACGGTATATTCAGAGAAACTCGAAACAAAGAGAAAATGGTAGATATCTTCTCCCGTAGAATCTTTGAACCTAGAAGCCATTCCATATCGTCTCGTGTTTGATATAAAATCGTTGGCAAATCTCGCGCACCAGTTGCTTTTTGAGGATTTGCAGTCTTTGCACTCTTCACAGTTAGGGTGAAACACTGGCAATACGACGTCACCTTGTTTAAATCCGTCCACGTGCTCACCAATGCTCTCGACCAAACTGGATTATAATTAAACCCAATTATAATAAGTTTAAGTAATTAGGCAATATTAACCTAAAAATATTAGTGCTTAAAGCACATTCTTAATGAAGTACCCGACAGCTTCGTGTCCGAGAATTCTAGGAAATCTTGCAAGTGGTCCCTGGAAATATCAAAACGATTAAAGGAAACAATTCTTTGGGTTAATAGATTTTGCGTTGACTTTGTGATACAATAGTACACTTACACTGTCTATTTTCCAGAAAGTAACATCAGTGTGACAAAGAGAAGTACATAGAATCTTAATCCGTACTTCGTAAGCTTGAGGTGGATCAACTTGGATCTCTTCGATCACCAATGCCTCTCCAGCTTTTCTACATAATGCTGCTTTGCATCTAATCGGTTTCCCTTCGTGGATGGAGAATGAAGACGTCTTGTCCATAGTGATAATGAGATGAACAATAAGTGTGTGGATGAAAAAGAGAGTGAGACTGCGAGAGAAAGTGGTATCTCATCAGATTCTCCCTATCTTATCTTTAAATATATTTCCAGGTACACTATTGAAAATCTTTAAAAGTTTTTTTTTTTTTTGGTCAACTCTTTAAAAGTTATTATAATGATGGATACATTCAACTTTTTGAAAATAATAGTAATAAAATAAGATTTCTTACAAAAACATTAAAAACTGATATGTGTCATTTATTTATTTAAATTTATTTTAAGTTTATAATTAATCTATTCATCTATTATATTAAAAGAGAAGTCATGACTCACTTCATGTATGATTTTTTAGTTTGAACCATCCTTATAAATTTTATATAAATTTACATAACATCATTATAATATCTTTTCATATCTTTAACTTTTAGTTGAAATACAAATAAATAATTTTAAGAAAACTCTAACAAAATATTTTAAAAATCTTATAGAATATTTTCAAGATATAGTTTCAAAAATTATTTGATTAAAAAAATTTAATTATCATAGAATATAACTAAAATTTAATTCATTTTTTTTTAAAAAACATTAAAATTATGTAATATACTTTTAACAATATCCCAAAATTTTGTTTATGTATTATGTAGGTCCAATTTAATTTATTTTTTATATATTTAAAATTTAGAAATAAAACAAAATATATAAATTAGTAATGTTACATAATAATGTTTTTAAAAATTATTACAAAAATAGAAATTTATAAATTTTAAATTAATAATACTATAAGCTACATAAATATTATTATAAAATGGGATAGTATATGCAATCAAATTATATTTATTTATTGATAAATTTTACTCACTCCGTTACTTAAGATATGATGTTTTGGATCCTAGCACAAAATTAAGAAATTTACATTCTTTTACAAAAGTATTTTTAAAGGTATAATTTTATAATCATTCAACAAATTATTAAAAAGAATAAAATTTTATCGGTTGAAGAGTTTCCAGTAAAGTTAAAGATAACTTTAAAACCTCAAATATACCTTAAAATTTTCAAAACATCTTATATTTTGAAATAAACTAAATCTTATAAAACATCATCTATTTAAAACGGAGTGAGTATTATATAATTTCAAATATTTTCATATTAAAATACCCGCACGATTGTGCGGGTCGAGATCTAGTTAGCTTATTTAACTTGGACTTATTTGCGAACCATAGAAAAAAATTATTTTCTAAAAATCGGACACCTAGCCATTTAAGCGGCCGCCTAGACGCTAGGCGATCCGCTTCCGCTCTGATTTATGCCAAATCGTTGTAGAAAATCGGTTATCTAATTTTAATCCGTCTAGACCATCTAGATGACCTTCTAGTCGCCTAATTTATTATTATTTTTAATAATATTTTTATCTATTTATTTGATCTAAAATTTAATAAATGTAACTTATAAATATAATTTTGATGAAAATTATATCATACTAATTTCATATATTCTATTTGTATGTTTTATAAGATTCTAAACATGAAAATGTATTAATGTTATACAAAATTAAAAATTAACAGATTTCATAACATATCAAATAGTCTCAAAATTCTATCCGTATAATGTCTACTTAATCTCCAATTTTTTATCTAGGTGTTAGGTCTAACCGTGCCGCCCGATTAAATATCTATATTCTCCTTTCTTTTTAAAATTCTTTTCATCTATAAAAATATTTAATCAGTAAGTAAAAGTCTTAAATTTTCTGAATTTGCAGAGATATTTATCAAAAAAATTTATATACACTCTATCTTACATAGTATTTTCCATTCTTTATATTGCTTGGATTTCAAATTAATTAAGAACATATAATATCTTTTAGGAGTATTGTTCATGCGTTTTCT